GTAGAGATTTTGTTTATTTTTTTTAGCATATTTTTATAATTTACCTATGTAAAAAATAATATCAAACAAATTTTCGAGCCAAGTAGATTGAACACATTGAATTTTCACTTTCGCGCTTACGAGTCAGCAAATAAATTAACGATTGCAACATTCATTTTAACAGTAGTGTCTACTTAGAATACTACTAAATATCATTAAACAAATTACTGACGATCCCTAAACTTAGCTATTTCCATTAGTTTGATTAAGAAAAGATCCTACTTGCTAGTATTTAACTTTTAACTACCCACGTACATACACAGCTGTGTGCTTCCGTCTTTATAGATAGGTACGTAAACATCCAAAGCAAACATTCCAGAGGGCTTAGCAAGAAAATTTGAGGTATAATTCTGGTATCTTAAGGTATATTTTCCTTTGAACACCTTAATGATTTACGTCTTACTAGCACGTAGGTATCACATATCGATTGGTAGTGGTTCAAAGCCAATACAACAGTTTCTATTTACGCTCTTTACCTATTTATAAACCGGGTATCTACTTGATACCTGCTCTCGATGGCGGTCTCGTTTGGCGGCTTAATCGATCGATGCCATATTTTGTATTTAAATTATGGTAACAGAAACCTTAATCATACTTTTAAATTAAAAGTATTCCACATTATTCCAGACGCAGTGATGATTGACGACATAAAACGATACGATGTATTTATAAAGATAAACGTTCTTTGTTCCAAAATTGTAATTTTTTGTATTATGATGTTATTTATTTGGGTAATGACACTATATTCATTAACCTACTCATGTAAATATAATTAAAGATATAAATCCTTAGACACCTACATCCGCAACTCAGTATATCTGAGCCAAAATATTTTCACACTGTCCAGTGAGTTAATTATATTATATTACTTTAAATACAAAAGATAAAATATGAATGTTTAAATTTTAAGATTTAAGCCTTAAAATCACTGTAGCATCAAATTTGTTTTTTTATTTAGTCTCGAATTTGCATACTTGACATAGGACCTAAAATTATTTTTACCTGAAACCGAATAAGAAAAATATTAATAAAAGTAAAAGTGAGTTAAGAACAATGAATTGATTATTATGATTATTTCAGCTTAAATGGGCGGAGGCTTAAGTATCAACTCTCAAAGATCACCTTCAAGTATCGCCTATTTAAAAATACATATATTTTTTATTTTATTTTACATAATATTTTATTTGTAAATGCTTCAGTTCTGCTATTATAATATTACAGTTGCTAACTCGGTGTCTCACTTACGCATCTGTTAATCAAATTTATCTACACAGAAAACGCACTCTGTAATTATAAGTTATTCTAATAGCTTGTGATAAAAGGTGTTCAATATCTACAATAATTTCATTGAAAATAAATTATTTAGTAATAATCAACCCTACCATAATCTTTAATATAGCTAAACAAATTCATAAGAAACTAAAAATGGTGACTCCAGTATTTTATAGTATAAATTCACCATGACAAAGACGAGGATCACGATGACGATGAGATCATTGATACTTAATTAGGAATTCTGTCAAATCGTAGTTCTTTTGTAGTTCTTATACCTAGATAACTAATATAAATCTGTAAGTAATTCAATCCTATTACTTTAAAGTTTTAGAGTCATTGAAGTTCGAATTACGTATAAGTCATTTTTTTTGTGCTTTTGATATAATTTAATGGTTGAACGTGGCGCGGAAAATTATTCCGAAAGATAGATATTAAACATTTTAACATATTGCAAAAAAAAAAATTGACAAACAAAAACATGTAACTTTCTTTTGTTTATCTCAAAATACCAAATTATGACTTATACGAAGAAAAATTAAATCAATCTAAAAACTTTAGAAACAATTGGAGTATACTTTATAATGATAGGTACTATACTTATGACTATACAATGAGGTAACTGTATGTCTTATATGGTATTTCGTTATATTAAATATAATATTTATTTTTTCTTCTTACATCGTATTTCTGAATCCGTTAATGGTAGGTATATTACTTTTCGAAATGTTTTTTAAAATGTCCATATGCATTTACATTCTTTGCATAAGCGCATAATAGTAAACAAAAATCTATAAATATTAGTCTAAATCCTACTACCACCTGTTTTCACGCAAAGATTTATTCACACTTTTCGTATGCACTGTTAAACTATCGTTAATCCAAGTTTATCAGGTAGCAAAGTGTCGCGGCGCTCACGACGCGTGCCAACAACTTTAGTGTCTATAAACCGAAGCAGTTAGAGGCTCATCTTTCTTTTTAACGACCACTGGGAATTGTTTATAGTTTAAAAAAAAAAGCACTAAGTCGCCGAGTTGTTGAATTAACGACCAGAAATATTTATGTTTATTGTTGTGTTCAACTTAATGGTAGTAGAAGTTAATATGTTGGTACCGGCGGTCCTGGGTCCTATTTTCTCTATCAAATCGCATAAGCTGTTCTATGATTAATTTGATTAAAAAACCTTGTTCAAACGTGAACGAAAGGCTAAGCCAAAGGCGAATTACGCAACGTCCCATATATTATTGAAGTCGTCCATAAAATGCTTGAGTTACCGATTCTATTGACGTTTAGTGCCGAACAATCGACTGCGGTCGGTGAGTCAGCCGGCGCCCGAGGATAGCCGACAAACTGCGCCTATACCACTTAGAAAGTAATCCTTATTTTCAACCAATTTAAAAAAAGGAGGAGATTCTCAATTCGGTTGAATTTTTTGTATGTACGAGTATGTAATGCAATAACTGTTGGCACAGTTTCCTACATCGATTTTCGTTATGATTTTCAACGAATTAGGTTTTTTTGTGAAATTATTTATTACGCAAAATTTTTGTGTTGATTTTAAAATAAAAAAAGATATGTAGAAACACTTTTAAAGTTACTACTTTTCTCTTTCTCTCCTGTTTTGTTCTTCTACGTTCATTTTATCCGTATCTCGTCTATTGATTTTATTTTATTATTGTACTTTTCGTTTAATTTCTTTATCTCTCATTGATTAATATTGGTTTCATTTATTTCCTTTTTATGATTTATAATTAATCTATTCTATTTTTCTAGTTTTCGTATCAATCTTCAACTTTATATTTTTTGAGGATATATCGATGATCGATTCAGTACAATGAGTACAATAAATGTATTACTTCTGAGTACTGGACATATAATATAGCTATTAATTTTTGTTTTTTTTTTTTTAACAACGAAACCTGAATTAAATGCTTACAAGTATCGCCATACTTAGACATATAGCGTCTTACAATTACATACCTACGCATGCGTACAAGACAATTAGATCTCGATGTCACGATTAAATTGAATTCATATCGTACATATTTAGCACGTGTATAGTCATGCTAATCATATTATAATATGAGTAACATACAAAATAGAATTTTGATTAGAACAATTTTATTCAATCCGTGGTTCCTCCAAGGAAACTTAATAATGTTGGCTTTTGCACAGATGGGACGACTTGCGAAGTTTCGCCTGAACCCTAATTAGATATTTTATTATATTCTCTTCCTTTCTGCGTATCGCTCTTGATATATTATGAATGTAGAATATTAAATTAAAATGTAATTTATTTATAAAATTGTAGATGTATTTCCCTCAGACAAACATAGCTGATCGATATTAAAAAAAATGTATTTTCTGTTTTTGTAAATTAATATATTTATAACTGTTGGTAAGACCATTTGTTTTATTTGTCGACCATAAAAGTCCTAACCTGCCTCAATATTGCGGAAACATTTTAAAAATGCATAAAACAATTAAAATATCATAAAAGCGGTGATTTCCCATAATCGCTATGTAAGTCTAAGTTGTTACTATGGGATGATATACAGGCCTCTCGTGCCGAACGTAAAAACAACTTTTGTTACCATTTTATGACAACAATTACGACCTATAAAACGTGTAGCGATTATTTGTCGTAGCGATTCTTGTGGTCGCGCTGTCATCAGTCCATGCTCTGTGGTGTGGCTACTTAAACTCGCTCCGTCTGAAAAGCCTTATAACCTATCGTTTTCATTAGAAACTAAACTCTATTACGTGTAATATTAAAATTAATTTTCTTTAATCGAACATAGCTCAGTTGTCGTCGATGTTTATTTTGAAGGAGGGCAATGAATCTACGGTCCTCAACGGGCCTTGACTTTGTGTGTTGAGTATTTTTATAATTCGTCAAATTGCTGACGTGTTTTTATTGTCGTTTGATGTGGTACACTATAAAGTGACGTATTAAGTTATTTAATTTTATGTACGTTTTATAGTTTTTACGAGTATTTACATAACTTTTTATGCATGCTTTTTTGCAAATAGGTGCAGACTTAGTATATCAAGTAAGATTTAATGATTTACGAGTTTTTTTTTTTTGGTAACACATTCAATTTCCTTTATTGGTATTCAATCTACTTATTTCTCAATAGCCTCTTTTTTAGCCAGATATAAAAGAATAATTATAAACATTTATTTCAGACTTAACCCATAATCTGTTTGTTTAGTTAGGTATTGAAAACTACGGTGAAAAGATACAAAAATTATGAACAAAATGAAGCTTAACATTTAATATACCTATGCTTTTAAGAAGAAAAATAACAGATAATTATAGTACGGCGATAAGACATTGTTGTCCATTGTCATAGCATGTCTATTTTTATGTCATACTGTCCTTTATTTTAACTTTTTTTTAAATTAACTTATAGCACTACAATATGCAAATATTTCTAATACAGTATAGGTATGTACTTATTTGTGCTACAATAACAAAAGCACTTATTCTTATAATACATGTATAAAAGAAGACAAAAAAGAGCTGAAATAGATATGTTAGATAAATATTTAATAAACATTTGGGTATTGCAAAGTGATATTTTTAATTAAAAATTATAAATGAAAATTGTTTTTTTATTACCTATTTCGAAGCATTTATTGAATACAAATTTACATGGTGTTAAACAAATCTTTTTGTTTTTCAGAGAAGCAAATGTGTTCGCCTTTGGAATCTAAAGGTAATGTAAGTAATAAATTTCCTAATGATTGACAGATATTTACCTAATAACAAATACGGTATGTCTTAAACATTCGTAACACGTATGGGGCTGAGCAAAACATTGGAATCAGGAATACCTATTGTTAATTTCTAACTGTAGCCTTATTTCCTATATGTATTTATAGACTTTTTTGAGATATTACAGATTATCGCTGACCTTAAATTTGTTTATTATACTAACTGTATGAATATTTGTAATTTCTCGTTACTTCTTAATGCCAGGTCACCATTATGAGAGTATGAAAATATTACACAATATTTTTAAAAAATTCCTGAATAACAAAATAATATGATATAATGCCTTTATTAAAATACATTGTTCTTGACTAATAAGCTTAATATTAATACAGGATAAAAACAAAATAATTTCCATACCATTTATATCATACCACTTACTGACAAAATATATGAATTAAACTTTTGAAAGTAGTATGAAAAACTCAAGTACTTTTCAGATTTCGTTGAAGAGAACCCATCCTTCTTCGAGAAAATTTAAAATTTCACTGCTAGAATCTTATTTAAAAATCTGCTACCTAATTATTTTAACTTCAATTTGTATTGTTTCTTCCTTCCCTGTTATTAATTAATTAATTTTATTTTTATATTTTTATTATTATTTTTATATTTTATTTTTCCCCGGAAAAATTCAATTACAGTAGGTAGGTACTCAAGAAGAAGCTTGACTACAAAGTTTTTATATTCATAGAGAAATTTATGAGTACGGACACCACATGTAGCGTTGTATCTTGCTATCATATATCGAAATCTCTGTAACATATGGATATAGCCAAAGATTTTAATCGTTTTTTATCCAGGATGGTAATAGCTCGCGTCGAGACTTTAATTTCGCTATTAAAAATATATATGATGGATATAGAATCTGTGAAATATGATTGTTATTGACTTAAGAACATAAGGTTTGTTAAAGGGATTAAAGTTGTACGGGCAGAACCACAAGTATAGACATAAAGATCTTTGTAATTTATTATCGCGCTACCTCTTTTTTGCGTTAGATTAAAATTAAAATATCCTTTATAACATTAACAAAATAATTTACAAAGTGTTATGTAAGAGTTTGTGAGTGAAGTGGTACCAATACTAACATATTAAATATAAAAACAATGAAATACAGTGTGAAAAGGAAAAGGAACTAATTATTATTATCTTTTTGAGAACTCGAAAGCTAGAAATAATTAATTATACTCACACTACGAAAAGGTGATATATGAAGTACCTAAACGAATACAGAACACGAATGACTGCATTTATACTCATATAAACTCAAAATATTACTGGCTAAAAATAAATATAACATTGCAACAGAATCACTCACAACATGTAGGTTATGTGTTTAATTCTAACTATATATTTACATTAACAGCACATCGTCAAAAAGACCGTAATAATTCAAACGGTCGTGTTTACAATGACGTAGTGTTAAAATTTTGCGTGGAAGTGCACCCAATTTGGCGGACGGCGAGTACAAGGGTTACAATTTGTGTTGATAGTTGTTATCTGCACGTCCCATCGTCCGGGCGCGGTATATATGTACTGCCAACAAAAAAAGACGAAAATAATACTAATAAAAAAAGGAGACGATTGGGAACGGAAAACTATATCAGATGTTAGCAAGATAAAGGCCTTGTACGTGCATGTATAGTATAGTTACGAAGCCCACACGAATTTTAACCTACATAAGTATTAGACAGAACCTTTTTGTTTCTATTGTTTATCACGGTTCTAATGACTGTATTTAAATTCAATTTTTTATGTGAGTACCAATTTATACTAAATTACCTACACAATTAATATTAAATTGTCGGTGTTATTTCTAAGAATATAAATAATTTTACTGTCAAAAACATATACAAATATTATCTATTGTGTCTAACACGTATAAATAGCCGTATATAAATATTTATAACAGTAGGTATAGAAACATGTTAAAACATTTTTGCACTAACGTTTCGTTAGGGTGGAGTATCTCTTAAGTCTACTCGACCGTAAACCTCAACTAAACATACATAATGACAGACATTAGCAATAACCCAAGTTCGAAAGAAGCATTACACGTGCGCCGAACTTTCCGCCACTAAACTATATCTATTTAGTAGGTAGGCACCTATAGAATATCATAGACTAAATAGGGATAAGTGTAGAATAGATATGTATTACTTTTTAAAATATTATATAAAAAAAGTAAATTAAATACTGTTACACTATTCATACCGCAAGAGTCATCTCTTAATGTGGATGCTTTGAAATGATTATGTATTATTGCTCTTTCCAGTAATTTTAATTAATTATTTATTTATTTGCCAAACATGACTTGTGATTAGCATGTGCCAACATTCAGTGAGAATATTTATTAATTTTAATATTTTAATTATTTATTAATTAATTTTACACATGTGAATATTTGTAAAGTTGTTTGGATGTTTTAATGAATGAGCGTATTTTAATGAAATTTGGTATATGGCTAGGTTAAAAAAACTAAATACATATTTACTAGGATAACGGTGTAGGTATTTTATATACCGATTCAAGTTAGCAAAGCTGCAAGGTATAATTAGTACATATATATATAAATTGTAATTTGTATATTGTTTCAATTGTGCAAATTTAACCTCTTATTTTTTTTTAAACAAATTTGATTTAAAATAATAGCTACAGGTATTTGAAAATAATTTATGAGTAATTAAAAATTTATTGTTTTTAATAATTTAACATAGTACACCTATGTTATATGTATGTCATATATAGTATACTTATTACAGTACCTAGATGCTTGCAAAATTTGTATCCTCTAATAATTCAACTCAGTGGGAGACACAAACCGTGCCTTTGCCAAGTCTAGCATTCGCCTGCTGTATCGACATGTCTGCCCTTTCAGACTGTCTGCATGACATTTTACTTACAATTTATGATATTGTATAAGCTTGTTACGAACACTGCACTTCGTGATCTTTAAAGGGCATATAAATTGGTGTATTCTTACATAATGGATATCAAAACATTTGTTCCTCTATTACGATTATTTAAATTATTAAATTAGAAAAATAACTTGGAAATTCGATATGGTATTTACGATACCATATTATTCTATTTTCATTACTTATTTATTGAATGTAATTATATTCTATTATATTAATTAGATATTCATCGATAAATACTTGCCAATATCTTATTACTCAGATATTGTGTCCAAATTCTGTACCTATCTCTCTTTTATATGCAACTTTGGAATGGTAAATAAGCTAATAGACTGCCTAATAATGGAATGTTGTAATTGTAAACTACAAACATAGGACCTTGTTGATTTTTCAGAATAGGATACCATGACTATATACTTCATGCGTTGTTGTTTCTGAAGGTTAAAATTTTATATGTACCTTCGTACCATATAATTTTACTAATATATACTACACTCACTTAAAAATAATGAACAATTAATGTATTTGTTATTTAAATTATTTAGTACTTATTTTTCTGACAGTACTATTTTGTATTCGTCTCGTACACCCCAGCTATATTTTGAATGAGAAACTCCATACCTACACATATATAACTACGTAAAACAACGTATTCATGCCTCACACCACCTCTATATCTCACACTGTGCCCCCAATACCTAATACATAATACGAAAAAACCAGGCTTTATTTAAAAAAAAATTGTTCAGTTTATTTTAAATTGTATTTCTCAATTCTCATACCCACATCCGCCTTCCTAATTTAAAATCGCATAAATTATTTATCGTAAATAAATTATATATAAATTTACTTTTAGTATACAATTTAGTAGACCTTTAAATATTAATAAATTGTGTAGACGAACTACAAATTAGTATCGCGGCTCTAAGAATATGTAATGCTTGTGTATCTGTTTCTGTTCGCCGTGGTGCTCGGGCAGAGAATGGCTACCCCTTTCTTTCCCGTGGATGTCGTAAAAGGCGACTAAGGGTACTTAAAGGTCGAAGGATAGGCAGTAGCGTCCCTCTTTAAAAGTCACCAAAACCTGACTGTGGTTGTTAATTCGCCTGCAAAGTATGGTAACTACTGACTAACCCCCCTTTTATGGGCCTTTATTCAGCAGGACATTAAACGGCTGATATGAATAATCAATTATACGATATTAAAATAAATATATTAGTAGTAAAACAAATTAATAGGTTCATCGACAGTAACTTCAGTATTGTGAAAAACAAAAAAAACCTTTATTTTACGTTTTTTATCAAGACAAATATTTTAAAGGGTTTATTTGGTTCAATATTTTATCAGCGCACCAATATTTTTTTCAAGTTTATGCCTACGCACATTTCTTTTCGTACACATTTATCAATCGGCATACGCACGAAGGCCCGAGTGCAAAATTGTGTATCCGCTAATATTCGAAGTTTTGGGGAAAAAAACATTTGCGAGTTGGAAAACCTTATTAAGCTGTCAAGAACTTGTTTTAAAAGAGTTGTACATACAGATAAACTTATCAGGATTGTGCCCATCGAAATACTCGTATAAACTTCTAATTTATTCAGACAAACTGCAATATACACTTAAACAACAAAATGTAATTACATATGCGAGCATTAGGTAGGTAAGTGTACATGACCATTCACTTATCACAATTTTTTCATTTAGTACTTACAATATAATGACCATACCTACCTGTATGCGTAATTAGTTAATTTATAATATAAATTATTTTAGTTTCTTATTAATATTTTAATTGTTATGATTAAAAGCAAAACAATATTACCTTAATCAATATTGAATTAAGTTTAAGATAAAACATACCTATATCATCTTATACATACATATATATATATATAAATAGATACCAACTAAAAACTTCGCTGAAACAGAGAAAATCGAAACTGCAAAGGTCGTAAGATAACATGCCAAACGGGGCACCTACCTATAGAATAATTTGTGTAAGCACAGAGGCAGAGAGGGTGAGTGCGCGG